TTCCATTTTTTTTACATCCCACTTCTGACACCAATTTGTTACGTCTCTTTTCATTTGTTAAATTCCCGCATAATTTCTTTCCGATGAAACTTTAGCAATACAAGTCCTTTCTTAAATAAAACTAGTGTATTCTTTCTCAATACAACTTTGCAATACACTTAATTTCCACAGTCACTTTAACTTAAACACACGCTATAATTTACAACGATTCACGCACTTTACTTACGGTCACTACCTCGCTCGACTCAATTATCTGTCTCTATCTCTGCCTGTCTGCAATATCTATGCCGTCACTTCCTCTCTCCGCTTTATTTGCCGGGCTTATATATTAAAATAGAGGGCGCCTAGAAAACGCTGGGGCCTTTATGATCCTTCTAGAATCTCATGACGTGTTACCAGCGTCACGTGATATCCGCTGTCGTAACAATATATATGTCATTCAACTAAAAACCAATACCCATATAATATAAAATATGAAAACAATCTTGCCACAACAAACAAGGAAAAAGTAAATTATTTGCCAAATATCTAGAAAACTCATTTACTGCACCGAATCTACCCACCTCTGACAATGAACATCGGGAAAAATTAAATCAGTTTACCACTAACAACGAAGTCGCTCTTCTGCCCAATTTCACACAAAAAAACACAACTAATCAGTTAGCCTCTCATGGCTTAAAAATAACAGCACCCCTGGCGAAGAGGGAATAAACAACCTAATTATTAAAAATATCCTCGAAAATTTCCTAAATCATCTCATCACTCTACTTAACTTATCTCTCGCTCCCCAATGGCACAGCGGTATGTCTGCGGACTTACAATGCTAGAATCCGGGTTTTGATAGCCGTAGTGGGTAGAGCACAGATAGCCCATTGTGTAGCTTTGTGCTTAATAACAAACAAACAAACAAACAAATTTATCCATCTACTACCCTTCATGTTGCAAAACCGCCGTTATAATAGTTATCCCTAAATCCTCCACCAGTCTTCAAGACCTGCCAATTACAGACACATCTGCCTATAAACAATATAGATAAATTACTGGAAAAAAATTATTACTAATATATTACTATTTCACTTAGAATCTGAAACAATATTATTTAACATACAAAATGCATCACGATGTAAAAAGACAAACAGCTGATCATTTAGTGAGACTAACCGAATCGGCAATTCAAACTTTTAATAGAAATCATGTAGCAATAGGAGTCTTCCTTGATGTCAGAAGGGCATTTGACTCTGTCTAGCAAAACTCGCTACTTTATAAACCATCCAAACTTGCCAACTAATACAATTCGGTGGATAGCCAGTTTCCTATCAAACAGAGTTGTTAGAGTCAGAATAAATAATGAACAATCTGATCCTTTCAATCTAAAAGCAGGTGTCCCCCAAGGTTCTGTAATTAGCCAATTATTATATATATATTATTTGTAAATAATATACCGTTTCCCCAGTTATCCACAACTCGCGCGTCCCAGTATGCTGATAATGTAGCTATCTGGAACACGTCATATGAACCCTTAAGTTCATACTTGTAATAATGACGATACACGCTAGTATGCAGTCTGTCTCGTATCCTACGCCGCCGTTAATCATCGACGGAGTATCACTCGACTTCTCGCCGCGGGACACGGCCTACTTCATCCGCTACTACAAACCTCAAGCCCGTGTATTCCCTGAACGCACCCGACGTCTACGGAAGGAAGGCATACTCCTCCAACCCAAGTCATTCGAAGATTTCCTCTACCTTCGCCATCCCTGGTCTTCAAATCCTCTCGTCACTTGTCAACCCCCCAAAAACAATGCCAGTCTCCACACTATATTTCTCCGGAACGTTCATTTATCCTTTACGCCAGAAGAAATACACCAAGCCCTGAAAACTACAACAAATTCCACGATCCACGCAGTCCACTACATCCAGTCTAAGAAAACAGGTTCACCCTCCACGTTTATGAAAGTTGTCACAACTTCAAAACATACAGCAGATTTCATACTCACCAACGGCTGCTTCCTTGATTATCATCACAACTTTCCTAACCTGCCCCCAAGCCCACGTTTCACAACACCCAGAAGAAAACCGCCGCCAACCAGTACCCTACCGCCCATCCTAATACAACAGACCAAGCCACTCAAACCTCACCCACTCCTGAAACACAAGATATGTCTTCTGAAACCACCACTACCAGGAGGGAAAAAGGCACCCAGACCCAGCCACCATTTACCATCGACGCCTATCAACAAACCAACAACACGCCTCCCAGCCCCAAGCCACTTTCTACATCATCGGCGTCAAGCTTTCCGAACGCCTTAGTAATCGACACCTCCTCCGATCTCTACCTACCGGATGAACTGTTCTCAGTTTTCAGCTCACTCACCAACGACACCGAGAACCCCACGCCTTTACCACCTGCCCGGAACCAGAAACTGTGCCAATTTAAATCCTTGATAAACTCCAGGAGACTCCACAACAGTTTCAAAAACTAATCAACTCCCAGCACCGGCCGTCACTTTGCCTTCCCTACTTACTTCTCATTAATCGGGCACTGGTAACGAATCAGTCGTTACCAATGAAAGTGGTGTTACGTCTCCGTTCGTTAGTTAATTTTCCGTAAATTCGTTCCGACGAAACTTTAGCGACACAAGTCCTTTCTTAAATAAAACTGGTTTATTCTTTCCGAATACAACTTTACGATACACTTAATTTCAACAGTCGCTCTATAACAAACGCTATAATTCTTTTAAGATCCTGTGCATGGATGCTTAAATCTACATAAATTCAGAATAAATGGATGGTTGCCTTTGACTGAAGTTGTGGATTGATCCACTGGCTTTCTTCTTTCAAGAAGTCTATTGGCTGTTGGCATTCTTGCACAATTTACAGTCGTGCCTTCCAACTGCAGAATAGGTATTATCTCTACAGAATGACAAAGAAACAAAAGCAGCTAGAATAAAGTCAGCATACATTCAATTACTCCACCTCCCCGGCGCTTCGTGGCCGGTCTTCTATATACAAGACTACACTATATCTAGAAGGATCACGAGATTTAAGGAAAGGACGTGAATGTTCGAGAACGACGTGGCGTGATACTAGTCACGTGACCTCGATGTCGTAACAGTGGATATTCTTTGGGTACTCCCGTTTCCCCCACATTAAATTCTCGTCATAGGATTTTTAGATCCCCGCCGCCCTGATGGACCATCTGTCCGATTTCGGCCGTTTAGTTTAGTTTTAATTTGCTCTTCACTTTTTATTGTCTACAATTACTCTCTCTTTATCTTTTTAAAATTACATACCTAGTCCGCATTAATTTCCTATTTTCTCATGTTAAGCCCATATTTCTAGACCACGAGCGGGGTGAAGGAGGATTGTTTAATCTTCGAGCACCCCAGATTAATAATTATTTCTTCGGAAATAATTATTTTTAAATCTAAATAACTGCCAGGGAAAAATGAAACTTGTAATAAGTGGCCATTATCTTACATAGATCCTTAAAGAGAAAAAAGAAATAAAACGATCGAGTTAGATTGAAACTTTATGACTCCGACATTATTTTTACCAAGTCTATGAAATTTCTAGGTATTACCTTTAATTCTAAACTTACTTGGATAGAGCACATTAACATTATATGTAAGAATATTAAACAAATATTATTAAAACAGTCATAAGCTGTCGTTGAGTTCGTTAGTGCCAACATGAAGAATTATATATTTTATAGTCTGTGGCAGTAAAGATACAGTGTAAGAGGTAAGAGAAGTGGCTCAACTAATGAATTTAATTAAAACATGTTGGTCTTTAACGTAAGAAATGTGTTGATAGAGTTATTTAATAATAGAATCTCCAAAAATGGCAATGTAAGGTAAAAGAGGAGGTAACTTGCCATTGGTAAAATCGGGTCTGTGAGTGGAATATCAATCTTGATAAAAAGAGTTAGCACAAAGG